TCACGGGCCACGGCCTCAAAATTAAAGATCAAAGTCTAACGACCACTCCCTAGGTGATTATGAGCCCGTTGGGTAATACAAAAATCTCTTGAATCGATTATTCCGTTGAAATTTATGAAATTCTGATTGAAGCGATTGAATTTGTTGATTCTGCTGATTTTCAAAAAAATTATAATCAAAAAGTATTTTATTAATAAAATAAAGAAAAAATTATATGTAAAATAATTAAATTAACTCTTTATAGTAACTTCAGTCAATACAACCATAAAAGTCACTACAAATCTTTTTTTTTTATTACACAATTCAGTGCGCAAAATCAAAAGTTACATACTACCTCCGTCCTGATCAGGGGCGGAGCTAGGAATTTGGTTCAGGAGGGTTAGAAACTAAAGGAATAATATATTCAAAAATCAGGCTCACTGCAGAAAGTACTACTAGCAGAAAAGTTTATAACAGTGGTAAAAGCAGTAAACACTATGAAATTCTACGATACTGAGGAATGCATTAGGTATGAGCCAATGAAAGAAAAGTAAATCATTTGAAGCACACAAGAAAGAACGATTAACCAAATGATTTAATTTGACTAATTTGAAGTAGCATTCCTCCTCTTCTCTATCTATTGTGAAGCATACACAATGGAGGATTGATATTATATTGCTTCTCTCCCTCTTTCTCTATTTATTGTTTTTAACTCCTGTATCCTGTGTCTAACCTCTTTTGAAGTATCACAAACAAAGCCCACAATTAAGGACGTGAATCAAAAAAAAAAAAAACTTATATCTAATAAATTCGAATTGGCACTTTTCTATCTAATAAATCCACTGCAATAGCAAACAATAAATACGGAGTGCATTTTAAAACAAGAAACAGATTAAGAAACAACAAAATTACTTGAAGCTGCAAGGTTGCGGGCAAAATTGGAGAAGAACACTGCGGGCCTGCGGCGCGCTGTCTCCTGTGGCCTGTGGGACTGCGGCTCTGTGGGCTTAAAAAAAGAGTAGAAGACGGCGAACCAGTTGGAGCTGAACGGCGGATTAGCTCTGGAAGAAGGGTTTGCGGGCAAAACTTCACGCAGAACTCAGGTTTTTACTTTGGACGGTAATTTGTCCAAACCAGACCAGACCAGATCAGATCAGATCAGACCAGATCAGTTCAGATCAGATCAGCATCGGGTCTGGTCTGGTCTGATCTGGTCTGGTCTGGTCCGGTCTGAATTGGTCTGGTCTGGTCTGGTTTCTTTGTATTTTTATAACTATCCAAGTCTGGTCTGGTCTGAACTGGTCTGGTCTGGTCTGGTCTGATATGATCTGATCTGGTCTGGTCTGGTCTGGTCTGATATGATATGATCTGATCTGGTCTGGTCTGGGACGAATTACGGTCCAAGTAAAAACATCCTAAGAGTTATTTGGGTTTCAAAAATAATTTTTTGAAAATAATTCCAGCCGGGTCCACCGACCCCCTTGACCCCCTAGTACCTCCGCCCCTGGTCCTGGTGAACTTTGTCAAATGCAAAGTAGGTGAGAAATAAGAATAGTAAAAACTGTGTGGCAAAGTTTTTTGAGACAATCAAAAAGTGAAAATTGGTAAAGTCCATTGGAACGGAGGGAGTATTAGGTGAAAAAGTTTATTGATAAATATAATACATCCAAAAATAAAATTATGAAACGAGCTGTTTATTGTTTCAAAAAGGTGGAATCTCCCATCCCAGGAGCCCCTCACCCCGACCCGACAGGATGCTGGGGAGGTTAGTCATGGTGACTCAGTCAGCAGAATGACAGTAGGCACATACACCCGTGCGCACCAGAGTCCCAGCCTTATTTCAGGTTCTGACCTCGAACCGGTCGCTGCGAGGATTCGAATCTTGATTTATTGTTCCAAATCTCTCACAAATCTCTCACAACTCGACCAACTCGAACAACTAGAACAATGAAACGAGCTGTTTTATGTTAAAGTTGAATTTCCTATTAGTTGACAAGTACAGCCATGAATTATCAACCGCCGAAAATCAAATCAAATGGAGACTATGCAACAACATCAATATCTAATCATTGATTTCAAAAGGGTTAGGGAAGTGAACCATCATATAACATCCGAACTAAAATAAAGGGTCAAATAGGTACATGAACTAACTTAAAAAGTCAAAATACGGAATACAGTCAAATGATTTTTTGAAGATAACTGCGCAGTTAAACAGCGCAATACATTTCGGAAAATCATTTGATTGTCTTCCCGATTTAATTTTTATCTGAAATTTGATATGAGTAAACTAGAATTAATGAAGAAGATGCTCAAAAAATTTCATCGAAAATTCCATCGGGAACCGCCTCAATTGGCGATGACCGGACAGAACCTCCTAAATAATGGACTAATTGAACACTTTAAATTAGTTCATGTATCTATTTGACCATTTAGCCAATAGAGAAAAATGAAACGAAGAAATCATTTGGAAACACGATGTTTTTACTTGGAATATAATTTTCTAGTCTGATCTGATCTGGTCTGATATATTTAAGTCTGGTCTGATCTTGTCCATTTAAGTATAGTCTAATCTGATCTGGTCTGATCTGAATTGATCTAGTCGGGTCTGGTAAACATCTGGTCTTTGTGTATTTTATAACTACGGAAGTCAAGTCTGTTCTAGTCTGATCAGTTCTGATCTGTTTAAGTCTGATTTGATCTGGTCTAATCTGTTTAATTCTGATCTGATTTGGTATGGAGCTGAAAACGGTCCAAGTAAAACATCCTATTTTCAACTTATTAGCAACCTTCAATGTAAAAGTGGAGTTCATTTTTTGACCGATTGATTAAAATTGCTAAAAATGAAATTTTAACTACATTTTCATATGTTTACCCGATTCAACCGTCTGAATCAAAATTTCATAAATTTCAACAGAAATATTTCAACAGAAATATTTCAACAGAAATATTAGATAGGTCAGTTATTGCTAACCCTAAGTATGAATATCTGACTTCTTAATTACTTATATTTCATGACTGATTGATTAAAATTGCTAAAAAAATAAAATGTTAACTACATTTTCATATACTCCGTATTTTCCTAATTCAACCGTAGTCAAAATTTCACAAATTTGAACAGAGTGAAATACGAAGTACCAAATTCGCTAGTATACTCTCCCTCTATCCACTTAAGATGAGATAGGTCAGTTATTCCTAACCCTAAGTATGAATATCTGACTTCTTAATTACTTATATTTCCTGACCGGTCAACAAATTGAAAGTGTGGTTTGACTGAAACTGTGGTTAAAATTAATGTAGTTGTAATTATAGTTTGAATTACTTGTAACAAAAATTAAGATAGAGAATACTTATTCTCTTATAAGAATAAGTACCATTTACATCCATTTCACCTACCGAAGCAATAATATATTTCAAGTGCATTTGTAAATATTGAAAGTGAATAAATGGACTGAATCCACTAAAACATTTGAATTCAGTGAATATTTTAAATTAATAAAAAAAGTTATTTATAATAGACTCTACCTCTACTATGTTTTTTGGGATATCGTATCATGTTAACAAAATAAACAACAAATAATAAGAAAATAGCTAGAATAATTATCTTCACCAAATTGAGACTATCAAGTAGAGTGTCTTCAAACTTACTTATTTTAATAATTACCCAATTTATCATGCGAAATCAAAAGTTACGCGTAAGGAAAAAGAAATTTGGCTAATTAGAATGATAAAGTAAATATATGGATTTTCAAATGAGCTCTAAGTAATCGTGATGTATCAATTCTGAAATACAGAGTAAGTAATTATACATTGAAGATTCGAATTTGTTTTTACTTTTATATTTATTCACATGCCTTAGTATTTTTATAAAAATAAAAATAACATTTTTTTTGAACGAAACTGGCTTAAAGTCACATAACAGAACGTAAGCAGATTACAAAATGACAACATGTCTTTTGTCTGTCGTCCGCCCTATAACCAGACTTAGAATTAATCACCTCTGTAAAAGCAATATAATTCACTGATCTCGCTTTGGTCTTAATTAAGCCAATGACTTGCAAACCAGACACCTAGTTTCCTGTTCTAGAGTTTTTTTTTTGCTGAAAAAAAACATAGTACAACCACATATCCAAATAAAAACGAAACATGAATAAAACTAAATAATCAAAATAAATATCTTGAACCCTAGCACCTCGTTAAACCCCAAGTGGTGATTCGGCAGGAGGTCGGACCATCGCTATGATTGTTGACACGAACAAGACACAACTCCCAACCCTAGCGTAGAAGGTTCTCCTCCCGCCCGTCGCTCGGTTGATTTCTTGATGAGCAACCTTCGTCTGCCCCGCCTTATCGAAACGTCGATGAAGTCTTGCATCAAGGAAGCACACAAGGCCGGCCGTCAAAACTCGTCAACCAAAGAGTCTGCATCAAACCTTCCACAGAGAAATTTCCGCTGGGATCCTACTGCTACGTAACCCCGTAATTTCAATCCCGTTGGACGCCTCCCTTTCTCCCTCCCTTGGCTCCTGCAACTCCTTCTCCATCGGCCGCCACAGCACGACTAGCGATGCTCCTGCGAACGTTTTCCTTCTTTGCTAAGCTAATCGCCGCACTGTTAAATAAAAATAAACATGAACATGTATGTATATTTTTTTAGAATTTATTTTGAGTTTAAAACAATGCTGGATTGCTCTTTCACAGCCCAAATAGCTATACTATCCTACCTATTTCGTTTTCCTAGCACTTTCACACCCCAAATAGCTATAGCTGAACTAATGAAGAATGATTTGCGCTGTTTTTACATTCTATCCGTAAAGAAGATATTTCAAAATGAAAACTACTTGGAAAACGATTGATAAAAATACACCCGTCACAACACTCCCAGCAAGGATTGAAAGTGAAGGCACGTAGCTATTCACTTAATATGCAGTTTCATACAGCCAAATCATTTATACGGCATGATATCGCGCTGGCAATCGGGAAATAAAGAATTGATCATCAGGCTTATTACTCTGTACATTTCATTTCTTCATCAACAATTCAATGAATGTTCAATAAATAGTATCAAAGCCACATTTTATCTTTTAACTGAACCCATATATTTCTTTAATACATTCATATACGAGAGTTTTAACAATAATCACAACTCGTCTGAGTTTAACATATCCCATTTTGCTAATTTCTTTACAAGATACAGTGTATCAAATTATAAATACCAGAAATTAACCCTAAGAAACTTTTAGAGGATGAAAAACAAAAAGAAACCAAATAGATAACCCAGAGTCATTGACGATGAATGGTGGAACGGTCAACGGAGTCAAGCCCATGAGTCCTGCACCGAACAATCCTATGGAACACTTCCCTAACTCTGCGCTCCAAAGGGTCCAACCCAAACTTGAGCGAACCAACCACGGCCCTCAGCTCGACCACTCTCTCCTTCACCTCTCCCTCCTTCTCTTCAGTCAAAGGCAAGTCAACCGTTTCAGTCAACTCAATCAGCCCTCTCGTGCATTTCTCCATCTCATGAATCTCCTTCAACAGCCCGCAAGACGAGTTCTTGCGGTCCCTCTTCTTTGACGCTTCAAGAATCCTCTCGTGGAGGGCGAGAAGCGGGCCGGACCAAGAAAACTTGGAAACGTTGAAAGGGGCGTTAAGTCCGCCGCGGTCCTGGCAGGGGATTGCGGCGACAAGGGCCCACATTACGAAATACAGCAAGTAACTCATGGTGAAAACGGATAAAGCTAATCCATTTGAAGAAAGGATTTCACTGGTCTTAGGTGAGGTTAAATTGTTACCAATGGCTTGGAGCTGCCTAGCAGCAGACCAATTCCTTGAAACACTCCATGACAGTGACCTGAAATGTCCCAGTGATTTATTATTGTTGTTGTTATTTCTCCCGAAAGAGCGATTTCTCTGGGAAAGGGATGAGCCGGAGACTTTTTCATCGAGCATGGAAATAGCGAGATCAAGCAAGGTCTTCTTTGCGCGACGGATCTGGCCTTCTCCGAGACATCTCTGATTCTCCAATGAACAAATCACAATCTCCAATTGCTTCTGCCACTGCTTGATCTGTTCGAGTCCGTCTCGTATAGCATTGCACACATCCAATGCCTTCACGCTCCTCTCGAAATATTCAGAGACATATCGATCCAGAGGAGGCTTGTTCAGGGTCGATTTGTAGTTGAAGACGATGGATTTGAATTCCTCCTGGCAACAGAGGAAAACGTCGAGCAGCTTCTGGATCCAGGGAATTGAGAGCATATCACCGGAATTCGCCGACAACAGGTCGTTGAGACGACTCGCCACTTGCGTCTGGAATGCTTCGAGCTGTTCGTTTTCTTCTTCGCGAGGATTCTCCATCTGATCACGGCGTATGCTCAGAAGGGATCGGCCGAAGCTGGTGAATGGTGATGAAGACGATTGGTAATCCGTAGCTGGCATTTCTCAAATCCCGGGAAGAAAATTAAATAAAATGTACTCTATGGAATACAAATCGATTAAGCGGAACTTTGAATGAATCCGAGAATTTGAAACTTTGAATAAACTCGAATATTGAAGTGTATCAGAAACAGATAGAGAAGAGAGAGGGGATAGGATAATGGTGAAGATGGTTTGGAACCCTAAAGTGAGAATGGGGGGAATTTATTCGGGTCGATTCGTCCGCGTAAGGTTATGGACTGTTGGGAAAGAGAAAGGCAGAGAAAAGATGAGTGTACAGTTTTGACGTTTTGTCAACCAAAAAAAGGTAAGAGAAGACTAATTTGAGCTGCGTAATAATTACCAAAACTAAATTAACTAAAAACGCCGACCCGTGTTCAGTTAAAGCTAACACGCCTTCCACACGCAGTGGACTCGGCTTAGCTTTAATGGTATGTTCCCTAAATTGCGGGCTATTCACAATTAGAAGATGATTATGTACATCTTTTGTATCACCCTAAAAAATCACACTCGGTACTTTTTAGAAACTACGTGGCATAGCTCACGTGGTGCGAAGAGTGTAGATGTTTCGAGTTCAATTTAGCTCTTCGCAAATAATTATTCGATCGGGTTTGACCAGTGGCCCGAACCACTATGTGTCCCACACTCCCACGGAGTCTCGGGACTCCACAGACTTCTATGAAATACCTATATACTCCATATTATGTATATATATAACTTATCGAGATGTGTGTATATGTAGCAAATACTATTAAAAACAATATACAAGATAAGATGAGCGGTCACAGTTGTGTCCGTAGCATCAGAGGTCTAGGGTTTGAATCCTCTCAACGCCCATAATTTTTTATTTATAAAAGCAATCGAGTGACTGTCTTTTTGGTAGCTGATTTTTTATTTTGCTACCACCAGACGAGATATACGTGTCACATGATATTGAATATATTTTATCTAATAAGTTACTCTCTTGGTCCCGTTGAAATGTTCTCATTTTCTTATTTAGGTGTCTCATTTAAATGTTTTCATTTTCCTTATTTAGGAGTCTCATTTAAATGATTTGAGTTCATTATAGAAAATAATTTAATTTCTTTAGTAACACTTTTACTCAAATTTTTCTTTTATACTCGTTACATGTCAAGTCTCAGAATTCCATTCTTGGCCTAATTTTACTTTCACTTTATATGTTTACTTTTTATAAATTTTCCCTTTCATCCCATTTTAACCTAATTACCTTATCTAACTACTTGCCTGAAAAATCGTGTCATTTACCCACGAAAATCTTCTAACGGGATGGAGGGAGAACAAAATTAAGTTATACTTCTTCATCGAATTGAACAATATAAATGCTATAGAAAAGGCCGTGTGAATTTTATCGACACATTTATAGCATATACGGTACTTTGTACGACTTTCCAGATTTGGTTATTTATTTGAATTAATAAATCTTTAATATAGTACTACTAAACTATATGTTTTCATATTTTTATTTTTCTTTGACTTACTCTAAAGGTGGAGGGGCCAATCATTTCAAAATTGATGAACACCATGCTTATTTCGCATTAACCTCATATATTCATATTTATACATTTATGAAAGGCATTTAGAATATTTTAAATTGGATTGATTTCAATCAAAGGTCAAACAAAACACAAACAAGTAGTAGACCACAACAATTTACACTTTAATAGATTGGGTTAAATCGGATCAAATTTAGACAACAGTAAAATATATATCCATGAGACCATGCCAAAAAAAATTCAAAATTTTACATATGCAATATTAGTGATGATGGTACCGTGGACCACAACCATGACCCAAGTACGAACTGAAATAAACCCCAACAACGGAAACAACCAATTATTCGGGATTAATAACTAATAACAGCCACTGGGGCTAAATAGGAATCTAGCTCGCGAAAGGAATCCACAACCAGGTTGGTCTGGACAGCAGACCTCGAGCATGGGCGGGATTCTAGCGAGGTCAGACTCATCCTAAGGTTTACGTGGTAGGCTACCACTTGAGCATAGCTATCTGGCACCGACAGGGAAACAAAGAAACGCGGACCTGGAAGAACAATGATTGCACAACGTTCGAGACGTTACATGACTCTTATTACGATTAAATGCGTTAAATGTATCAATTTCCTCTTAGAATACTAGAACATAAGGTCTATAAATACTTCTTGTACATACCTTAAAAGGGATCCGCCTCCGGTATAATAATAATACTGCCTTACGCTGCCTAAATTTCATCTGCTCTTGTAAATTAAGCTTTCGTAAATTAAGCTCTCATAGTTGGAATTAAACTCCATCATTTGGTGCTGTTGTTGAGAGTCGATTTACGACGACGATGGTTGGATCACACAGTCAGAACTGTGCTAGTAGCAACCAAGGCGGTGCTCGAATGGATCAAGTTGTGATCGAGGACGAATGGTCTCGCTCATGGTGAAGCAATTTCCGGAGAAGGAATGACAACACAATGACTCCAGGCGACTTAAGGAACTGTCTGCATGGCATTGGGAGTTCTAGGCACCCTACAACACGCCTGTCACAATTTCGTACGCCGGTGACCTAGAATCTCTTTCCAGGCGTGGATCCCGCACAAGCTAGTTGAGCCATTTATACTCGCTCAACAAGCAGCCCAAGTTTATTATGCAGAATACCCTTCAACCAAGCGAACACGAAATCCTTGGGTGTGTGCATGTTTTCGAGAAAAAATGTATCACAGACTTAATTCAAGGACATTGATCTTGATGCTTTTCAACAAGATTTTTTTCATCCTCCGTCTATCGCTGAGATGGTCAACTATAACATTGAGTTAAGTGATCCGAACGGCGGACATGTTGAAGTCATGCCAAAAAAAAACTCTCCTCTCCCAATACCTCAAACTGAGTTAGAAATTGTTCAATAGTATGAACAAGAACAAGACAATGAACGAGAGGAAGAAGAATGGATAGATGATGATGATCGAAGATATAGAAGGAGATGTTATCTATGAAGAAAATAATGATTCTGAAAGCGACTAATAGTATTGTAAAATTGTTGATTGTATTTTTACTGAGAATTCAAATTTTTATTTTTGTTCATCATTATATTAAGTCAATTCTTTCATGGATTTAGTATAATTCAACTCCCAAATAATTTAATTTTACTAGAAAATACGTAGTAATTAGGTTCGAAATCATTCACTATAATTTTTCAAGAAAATAAGAAAATAATTAAATCAAAAGCTTTCTAAGATTTTTTATACTATATTCTACTCAAGATAATTCGAATTTTTTTAATATTTCGAAAATGGAAAATTAATTACATTTTAATAATTCGGATTTTTTCAACATAATTTTTTTATTTTATTTTAGTCGAAAGTAGTTATAAACTAAACTATTTACACACAAACTTTTTAATTTGAATCTAATTCTTCCTCATAATAATATTAAGTCTAATTTATAATTTATTAAATTTTAATAACAATTGACATAAAGAATACAAAAAAGTATATCTGCTTGTAATTTATTACTATCTTTTTAACCATTAGCACATGCGGTCGTAGTGGCAGGCGACATGGCCAAGGTCAACCCGAGTCAACCCCTAGTGCCAATTTTGATATCAATGATTATTTCAACGATGAAGACCCCCCGGATATGTAATATATAGTTTTTAAAATTTGAATTTTTATGAATTATTGTAATTGTAAGATTTTTCTTTTTTTATTTAATATTTAATTTGTCATGGATGGGGGCCGCGACAAACTTGAATTTTTGTAATTCCCCTGAATTATTTGAATTTATTTATTTTTAATCAAAAAAATGTTTGTCATTGTTTTTATTCCGTGACAAAATGTGAAATTTCAAATTTTTTAAGTTCCCGCCCCGGATCAGTACGAAAAAAAACCAATTTTATTTTAGCTTTGTCACGGATTCATCTATGACAAATATTGTCACGGACGAAATCCGTGCCAAAATTGAACGGGGAGGCTAATCCGGTGAAGCTTTTGTCACGGAAGTCTGTCGTGACAAATCTGTGACAAAGTTTTGTCACGCCCAAACGGTCACGGAAAAAATTGTGACAAAATTCGTAACAAAGTTGTTTGTCACAGTTTTTTTTAACTATGGTCCATGACAAGATCCGTGACAAACAACCTGTTTTTTGTAGTGCCACATCAGACCAAGTTTAGGCTTAAAATATATATATCAAAATTATAATTTTGTATGAGGTTTTATATGACATCATAGTCATATTTAGTGCGTTTTGGACATAAAAACACAAAAAAGAGAATTATAATTTAATTTTTTGCTTACAATATAGTTTCTTAAATAGAAATTGCTCTAAATATAAGTAAAATTTTATTAAAATCCAAAATATGAGTACTATATTATTACACTAAGATGAGTGATCAATGTAATACTTAGAAAATACACTTTCCATTTTGGGCATTTCTTTTTTAGGTTGTCGAAAAATATGAACATTTTTCTAAATTGAATTTCACTAATTTTTTTGACTTTCTCACTTTATTCATTTATCTACCATATGACCATTTACTTTTTGTTGGTCCATTCTTCTTTTTCTTACTTTTTGAATGTTTAGAAGGGTAAAACAATCGTTTTATTCTTTATTTTCTAAAAACTCGTACCAAACTTACATGCATCTTATATGAGGGGAAGGCATTCTCTTTAATTCTCTCATATTAATGTATAATAATACCAAAATATGACAATGCAATATGAGATCAAAAGTTTAGTATTTCAATTTTTGAATTTCACATTTACTACGCATTTTTTCCATACATTGAATTTTTCGTTTTTTTTCAGGATATTTTCCTCATCCTCAAATAAAAGATGAGGGCACATACAAAGAATATAAATTCTTAAAGACTTAAATGCAAGATTGAATGTACTATTAATGCTGAAAACGTCACATTGGCGATTGGTATACCGTGGGAGCAGCCCACGGTGAACATGCTGCTCCCACAGAAAAAAGCATGTTACTGTTTACGTGCGTGAAAAATAACTTCATTTTTGTTTTTTCATTGTCCAGTAGCAGAATAGGTGTAACTCGCGTATAACAAAATGTAACTCACGCTAATAAGAAATGTAACAACAATCAAGTTGAAATATAACTTGTCTAATATGAATTATAAGAAATAAAACATTGATTTTAATGAAAACAAGGAGCCTAATTGCTCAATTACTTTATTTAAATACTTTATATGTTATGTTTTTAATATTAACGACATAAAAATGTTTTTTTTTTTATCTTTTTTTGCCAAAAAATCTTTTTTTGGCCAAAAACTCATTTTGTTTTTGTAAAAAAAGTGATTTTTTTTATTTAATAGCAAGGGTTAATATAAATGGTGAATATATTGTGTTTTTAATATTAAGTCCATGAAATTGTTTTTAAAATATTTTTTTTGCCAAAACACATTTTTTTTGGAAACATTTTTTTTTGCATAACAATGATTCTTTTGTTTCAATAGTAGACTTTATGTTGTGATGTAATTCATATTACAGAAAATGTAACTCGCGTTGATTGAAAATCTAACTTTAGTGTATGCAAAATGTAACTTGTTAAGGAAAACTCAAATATAACTCGCGTATAAAAAGATGTAACTCACGCACAAGAAGATGTAAATCGTGCATAAGAAGATGTAACTCCATATAATATCAAATGTAATTATAGAAATTGTCTATAAATATAACTCACACATACGAAAAATGTATAGTATTATTCTTATGTTTTTCAAATTTAAATCGAAATAAACAACCTTAATGTCTATAAAACACAAAAACATATAAAAGCGATAAGAAATATATTATAGAAAAAAGTATATGAATATAAAAAATATTTTACAAAAAAAGTGTATAATAAATATTAAAAAAGTATACAAAGTAAGAAATAGTGTATGAATATGACATACAATATACTTATTTTATGTGGATAAATAAAATTTTGTATTAAATTGGTAAAGAAAAAAATTAATTCAGTTAGAATTTAATTATTTCAAGAT